CACACACACACACACACACACACACACACACACACACACACACACACACACACACACATTCCTAAAACCACAGTCCATCCCAGGGCTATTTCAAAACCCCTCTTACCCGGAATAAAAGTCCTCTCTCCTCTAATTTGATGAGGGCAGGCAGAGATTGCTCATGACTCAAATACTGTCGTCATAATTAACTGGCAGAGCAGCGGTGGTTTTGCTATTTTCAGCTTCCACTACAAGTAAAGAGTAGTGACATCTCCTTCTCATTACAATTCATATGTGAGCCATGTGGCCTGCATTCTCTCCGGATTCGGTACCCTCTCCTTTTCTCTAGTGTGATCAGCGACTAACAGACTCTCCTCGTCCCTTCTCCCTGCCTCTCCCCCTCCAGTTGTCCGTGCCAGGTACTCATCTCCTTTGGGTTCCTCTTACAGAGTAAACAAGCTATAGCTAATACTACTATACAGATGAATAAACCACAATGCCGATGCCGTCAACACCCCTCCATGTACTCACGCCCTCTTGTCCACGATCCAGGCCTTTGCCAAGTCAACTCACACATCCACTTGGCTTTGCACTGCCATCTTTCTCTCCTTTCTGCAACTCACGCCCATTCCTGTGCCATCGTTCTCTCCTTTCCGCACGCCCATTCCTCAGACCTTCGGCCACAAATTAATCCCCCTCAATCCCTCTTGAAACAGCAGGTATCAACACCCGGTTAACGGACCCAAGCTCAAGCATGTCCCCTGACCAATATCAGTACACCTTCTGCACCACTGCACAGCAATACAGATCAGACTCTGGCTGCTAAGTGTTAGCCAGCACTAGCCCCACGACCCATGTAACACCCCCACTTGCCCGCCCCCCCCCGCCCCCTCCGACCCCCCCCCAACATTCCTTCCCAGACCTGTCCTTCGACGGTAATTAGGTGAAGAACAAGGAATGCTTTCCTCCGATAAGTATTTCGTCCATTCCATTGTTTGTATGCTAACACACAGAATGCATAAGAACATGGCCCTCTACCACCATATGCACCATGCGAACACTGCCAAACCTGTAAGCGACCATGTGAACACGGAAATGGATCGCGTGACCCGCGCACCGTTTGCTTGCCCGCCTAGCAAATGCATGAGCAAGGCCGCAAGGCAAAGAAAAGTGTCTCTCCAGTTCATCTGCCACCCAGGTTCTAACAGACTGCACTAGAGTCGTAATACATCTGTACATAGATATGTCCAATAGCTTACAGCCCACCGGTTTACCCGGCGCCTTATCCTGTGCCAGTTCAGCTGCGTATGATTCTGCATCCTTCTCTCCCCTGCGCATCCACCATCACCTTAAGACCTCGTCACACTTAGAGATCGAGCAACGAATTAACAGCAGCTTAGCCTTCAACAGTACCAAACACCAGCCATGGCCCTTAACAGCAACCTTCGCTGGGGTCCATCCGCGCCGACAAGAAGCACATCAAACAGGAGACCCACAAACTCCCGCTCATAGATGCTGTGGAGGAGAGCCAGCATTTTCTTCCAGATGCCATTATGCCGTGGATACAAATGCAATGGGGGGACAAGGGCAGGTTGGCAATAGATAAACCTGAGACATTAGAGGAGGCTGGGAGGGAGGAAGGATGCAGCAATGATGGAATTCGCCAACCAGGTTTACAGCTTCTAAGATAAAAAGGCCAATCGAATAGCATTTGAGCAATCAAGCTTTTCGCTTAAAAGAAGGAAGAGTTCCCGCAATCAAGCTACCTTGCCAGCTCCTTTTTAACCCGCATTCTTCATGAAACATACGAGTAGGAGGGCAGGAAGAGGAGGAGGAGGAGGAGGAGGAGGAGGAGGAGGAGGAGGAGGAGGAGGAGGACACATTGCTGATCAATAAGAAGAGGAAGCGAGAGAAAGGAAGAGATATATTCATTGCATGCTTCCCTTCCTACAGAAAGGACAATCAACTCCACCATCCAATGGTTGCAAACCAGATGCATGACCTGCGGCCGGCTTTCTGAAGGAGGACGCATTGCTGGGCGAGAAGAAGAGGAAGAGAGTGAAAGGCAGAGACACATCATGGCCAGCTTTCCATTCCTGCGGAAAGGACGATCAATGTGACCATCCCATGCGAACCAGATGCATGACTTGCAACCGGCTATCTGAATGGATGGAGACTGGGGAGTGGGATGCAAGGGGGCAACATGAGAGCAGAAGGCGTAGTACCTGCGATGCCACAGCGACGAACAATTTCAGATAGGGACAAGGGATAGTGACTGCCACCCGGCAGCAAGCAATCACCGTCTGACAGTGAGGAGATGTTCCAATACCCAGACTATGAACCATCATTGATTGGAGATTCCAGGTCAGTCTTGAAGGTGCTCCCAAACAGGCGCAAATCTTCACAAGGAGTACTTTTTTTCCTTCCGACTGTGCATGCTAGCCGAGAACCGCGATGTGTCTTGGACAAGGCTGTGGACGGATCCCGGCAAGCAGAGCAAAGCCAGCCTCTACCTGCTAGGGGATTATGTAAACAATGTCTCATTCAATCAGTCTACATGTTTAACAGCTGCGCATTCGCCTTCCTGGCATGCTCTGGAATGAGCTTCTGCAGCAGTTCAGGGGAAGCCGATTTCAGCTCTGCAAAGTGCCAAACCAGTCGTTCGTTTCACCCATTTCCCCCGCCCGACACCAACGAACAGACCAAAAATCACACACACAAATGAAACAGCTTGTCAGCAAATGCTGAAGAAAACACTCTCCACAAACCGACCTTCAATGCAAAATTGCTCGGAAACAACATCCCTGAGACCTGCGTAGCACGGTGAACGTGTTCGGGCAAACATTTTTTTTTCGTATTTTTTTCTCGTTTTTTTTTTTAATTTTAACTCACGTTTGGCTAAGGCTTTGAACATGACTCCAACGCAAAAGTTGCTTGTATCATTATACATGACATATATTTTTTCAGATTTTTCTAAGGCTTTTCTTTTTTTAACGTCCGCGTTCAAAGGGTTTTGGGCCATCGTTCACGTATCAGGGGACTGGCGCTGGCCGGTACATCCAAGCCTCCTCTTTTTCGTGAAGAAAAATTCAGTCGTGCGCCGGTGCTTGTCAGATCAAAGCTGGCACGAAATCAAATATTTTGGGCTGGCACTACCTGCCTTTGACGAATTACCCTTATTGATACTGATCAGCAAGCAGAGGTCCCTACAGTAATGTCAACATACACGACAGACCGCATGAATGGATTTCTAAAATAGTGCATGAAAAAAGAAATGCCAACTTAGGAAAACAGAAAGAAGATGATGACCATCATCACAACCACTACGGCAATAATCATGACGACGGCAAACGAATACGAGTCCACCATGGGGCCTCGCTCCACTGCAGCCCGGAGATGGGCGAGTAGGTAGACTGCGGGGGGACGGAATCTGTCTTGCATACGCGCCTCGACATACAGGGCGGCAAGCAGTAGACAGCTATCAACCAATGGAGGATGAGTAGATATATAACTGATCGGGGACAGGAATGAAGTTGCTCGAGGTTAAGCCAAGGAGTACATGGAGGGTGCCAACGCCTGGACCTAGGGCCCGGGGGGGGGGGAACCCTCTAACACAGCAATGCAGACCTCCAGAGTGTATTCCAGGGGCCGGTGTAGTATTGAATGGGGACTGTAGGTTGCAGGACGACCACTTAGGAGAGGGCCTTGGGCGGTTCTAGGAGTAACAGACCGCCACACCATGCTAGGGGGACTTAGTGACAGCTCATCTACCTGAGGCTGGGCACAAGCCCCTGAAATCCTCATGCATTGTTGATGTATTGTAACCATAGTTGCGGCACACAATTAGTGCGGGGCGGGGTGGGGCGCACTGCGCTGTGCGCTGGAATGACAGCGCGCCCACTGTGCGCAGTGTGCAGTGCGGTCCGCTGTGCGCGGTGCGCACGCTGAGAGAGGTGCGCCCTGTGCACGATAAAAAAAGGCCCCCGGGAGAGAGATAGACAACAAAAGGTCCCCTTCACGTCAATTCGAGCGCCCCTGCAGGTACCTCGAATGGCTCCTACGATACATGTGGCACCATTGAGGGCCACTGCTTCAATGAGAAGGATGGCCTCGTCATGTGTAGAAGAGGTGGGGGCAGACCGCCAATTTATGCCGTGGTTTCGAGTTCAGGGCTGTAGCTTGGCAGTTATGGGTCACCAATTCAGCTAGACCCTGTTCGTGTCTCCCCGTGATTCTCAGGGCCTCCATCCACCACTCACCAAATGTATATATTATTAATCAAATGAATCTTCTGCTTAAACATGGAACGATACACCGCCATATGCTATGTCTTTTGTGCATGTGGCGAGTAGTGGAGCAGGCCCCACATGTGGCGAGTAGTGGAGCAGGCCCCACTGTACGTATTCGTAAGAAAACAAAAACAAAAAAACGAGAGAGCTACGGGCATCTTCATCCTAACCCATAACTGCCGACATGAAGACCTGAACGCCAATCTTCAGCATATATTAGTGGTCGGCTGGCCATGGAAAACGCAATTTGTGACTTCTGCGAGCTTCGTGGGGCAGGACTTTATGGCGAGTACCCCCTTTTTGCGAACTTACCCCACAATTGTGTGGGATTTCCAGAAGGAAGGGGGAAGGTCAGTTTCCATACCCCGCCTAAAAAAAGTTGGAATGAGCCCTATTTCATGCTTCGCCATTTTGAAACTTTCGGGGGAAGGGCCTGCGGAAATCGAAATTCGGCAGCCCTTGCCCAAAAATAATATTCGGGCCGGGGGCACGGCCTGTTTCCAAGCTCGCGCAGCGAGTTTAACATTTTTGCCGAGTTGGGGGCCCTAAGAAATTACAAAACCCCTACTTTTTTTCTTTTTTTTTTTGGACCTAATTTTTCCAGTGTGGTGGGCTTCGGTGCGCTGTGCGATGCGGTGCACGCGATGCGCAATGCGTGCGCAAATCCGCACACCGATGTGTGCCGCAACTATGATTGTAACACTTTGGGACGCTCGGCCCGGTTTCCAGCAGATGAAGCTGCCGAGTCCCTACCAATAGACAGGAGCAACCGGGCAAGCCTGCTGGTGGGGGCTGCTCCTATCACCCCTCCCAGCAAGCCACAACCGGCTTTCAAAAAAAAAAAAAAAAAAAGAAACGGAGATAATTCCGCGTACTTTATAAACATCTTACATCTTACAATGTGTCTCGCTCCACTACTCTGCAATTGAACAGGTATCCAGATAGCCTGGTCCTTCCCATACATTTGGATTTTCAGTGTATGGCGACAAAAAAGGATGTCCACACACTATACACGTTTTTTGAATGCTGTGCCCTGGAGCGAGGCCCAATGTTTCCATGTGCTTTTCATTGAAAGAATATAATATATTCTTTCAGCTTTTCAATCATCGTATCATCATTTATCCACTTTGTGAACCTTCAGCAACTTGTGTTCTTTCTCATTTTTCTTTTCAATCATCGTATCATCATTT